TCCTTTCTCGTTAAAAGTTTATGAGACAAGGATCTCGCCTTACTCTTTTATTTTAAATTTAATATTGTATATTTTGAAAAGTCTAATGTAGCTCAAAATCACTTTTTCAAACCCAGTTCGTTTCTTTCTTGTTGGAGGTATATTAGTCTGCAGCTCACATATTTATTGCCAAAAGAATATTTGTTTCCAGCGCGAATATGAATCTTTCCAGACTTGAACTGTGACTATGTAATTAAAATAGTTAAGAGTTCTCTTCATTTTGATCACGTGCTCGTCTATTAGCCCCTACCTGAGAGCAGGATCTTCAGCTCACTTTTGGTCTTCAAAACATTAAACTACGGGTATATTTCGTCGTCATCGACAATAAAATAAAAATTTAGATTTCAACTCGGCTCGTTTACATTTTAACGACTACAATAAGGACGTATTATATATATAGAGAAAGAAAGAGTAAGCATATATATATATATATATATATATATATATATATATATATATATATATATATATATATATATATATATATATATATATATATATGAAATGTTTTCGTTGTTGTAGTCACAACAAAAACACAGGCCGAGTTATATTCTAATTTTTTTTTTATGCCATGGGGAGAGTGACGAAATGTACGTACATATTGGTTCAAGTCAAGCCGTGTTATTAGTAGAAAATCCCCGTTGTTTCCTCAGGCAGATTTAACAGGATAGACACGCGATCAAAGTGAAGAGAATAATGAAGCTATTTTTTACTATATTACGTAAAAGTTTTTTAGGAAATGTCTGGAAAGAATTGATTATTTCGAGATTTTATGTTGGCGTGGAAGGATTAAAATATTCTTTAGGCAATAAATATGCCAAAACGGGAGATTTAATATACCTCCAGGGTGGTACAAAATGAAACTGGAGTTTCAAGAAAAGATTTTGGAATACATTACGACTTTAAAATATATAATATTGGAATTTAAAGCGTTAGGTGAGATTATTACAATATATATATATAATCTTTTGTTCTGGTATCACTAGTATTTTCAATTCTTTAGATTTTGTTTTTTTTAGATTTGGTTGTTTTATTTAATTACTAAATTTTTATGATTTGCATTTTGATATGTCTTGTTTACTTTATTTTCTATGTTCATATATAACAAGTTATATTAATATATATATATATATATAATCAAAAAAACAAACAAGCAACAAGAGACAAAAAAATTCAAAAACATACGAGAAACAAAGGACAAAAAAAAAGAAGACAAATAAAAATTTAATAAATTGAAAAATAATGAGTCGCTCGTCAATATATATATGAGGTCTTTCTTGAATATCTTGATTTTTATAGACTATGGCATGTTACTTATTTGTCGGGATGTTTCCATTTTGTAGTGTCAAGTTCTTCGATATGGGTGTTAACTGCTGTGGCTCAGGTGGCGCTGCTGCAGAGCTATGAGGAGTATATAGTTATATTACAGTAGTACATAGTTATATTACAGTAGAATCTCGATTACCTTGGAACCTCTATTAACTGAGCTGATACTGAAAATAGAATTCTATTTTTAATCAAGTCAATGAATTTTTCGAAAAAGGGTGTCATGTTGGTATTTGCGATGCGAAAGCTTGTAAAGGTCTATCGAGAGAATATCTTTACGATCCAAAAGTTATTATGACTAAAACAAAAAACACCTTCTGCTCTTAAGCACTTCACTGGTGATGTGAACAAATTTCATGTCATGAAAAATTGTAAATGTGTGGAAAGTTTCGAGTTGTTAAACGTATGGCGGATATTCTTTGTTAACATAAAGAATCAATAAAAAAATACAGCGAAAACAGCGAAAATCAGCAATAGCTTTCCACTTCCTCTTATCAGAATCAACTAATCTTTCAAAAAATGTGTGTAAGAATTTGATAACCAATGAAATTTGTTAAAAATGCTAATATGTGATAGTATTTGCGGAATTGTATAATTTCAAATAAACACGGACATACTTGAATAGAGCAAATATATATAAAAATATTAAATATTTTATAGATATGGAATTACATGGATGATTTTCATAAAATGAAATAAGAATTAAAAATTAAAATAATTTTTCTGCATAATGAAAGGTGCGCATGCTTCATTTGAAACAGCGAGTACGATTGGAACATTCATAAAGCTACTGTAATAAATGGGAATTCAGTCCAGCTCTGGCATTCTGAATTGGTTGATAACAATATGTAATAACATGAAACACTATAAGAAATATAATATGTCAGGCCTAGTGGTAAGGTCTCGCTTCTTTAGGTCGGAGGCAGGCCCGAGACCCGATTCCACCGAAGATCCTCAAGGCCGTGTATGGGGCCCGCTGCACGCCAAATCATACGTATGGCCAAACGTCCTCCCGCTGGTGTAACGGGAAGTTTGGAGAGGGGGGGGTGCCAGCCCAGGCGTCGTCCCTCGTCTGACCGAGGTTCAACATGAGGTCCGTCCCGTAACAGCTCCCTGTGTTACTAAAAACGGGACGTTAATATAACTAAAAGAAATATAACAATCAATAGCACATAAATACATATATAGATATAAATATAAGAAAAATAACAACAAAATATAAATAAATAAAATAAGAGGAGAAAGAAGGAAAAAATAAAGGAAGGAAGTACACAAAACAAATACTAAAACAAAAATTAAAAAATCAGTATAATCGCAAATTATTTTAATGAAGAAGATTCTTCAAGATATTCTGAACCATAAAACTTAATACCAATTTTTTTAACCAACCCACTTAAAACCAAGTTAAAAATATTCAAAGTGCTTGAAATCTTTTGGAAAAATTTGCCTCTAATATTTTTTTTTCTTATTTTGGGCAACCAAGATTCTGTAATAAAATGAGACGGCTAATTTACGGATTTTTCTTATTGTAAGAAACCTTAGTTCATAATGTCATTCGTGAAAGAAAAATCATTCATATCATATCGTCAGTATATAGTGTATGCTGAACATATATTGATACGCAAAATTTTTTTCTGCTTTCAGCAGAGATGACATTTTAAAACTTACAAGAACACAATAACACATTTTCTTTAACTTGGCTCTTTGGCAGTATGTCGACTATATATATTTCATTATTACTGATATTGTGGCCTTGTATTCAAATATATTGACGACATATTTCAATACAAGTGTATTTTAAAGAAAGAAATGGCATTTTGAAAATCTAAATCAAAACTGAAAGCCGTTTGTAACTGTAATGGTGTAATGTGTTTTAAAAGCCAAAAATATATGAATTTATTTACTACATCTCTAATTCGTTCATTAATAATATTTAATTTTGTGAATTATATAATAGAAACATTTATACCTTTATAAGATACCGGCCCGCTGACTGCATTTTAACTCCGGTAGATGTTAACAATAAATTCCCTGTTCCCCCTCTTGATACTTCTCCTTTTGATAAAAAATGTTTGTTAGATTATAAAATTCAAACTACTTTAATGAACTAGTTTTGGTATATTTTGATAAATTTAAAGCAGATTATAGTGATGTTAACATTTGCAATCTAAAATGCAGTATTTTAGTGCGTAGTCCTAACGGAAGTATTAACGAACTTCCTTAATATGAATTGACCTTACTTCTTCATCATAGGAACATTTTGCCTGATTTTTCCATCAAACCAGGCCTTATTAAAATATGGTTGCAACTGCAAATGGGTTCTACTTGTATCAATACGTGAGGTTGAGAAATTTTTCACATGGCTTTTTCTTTCAAATCTTCGACAATAATTTAAACTACAGAAAATGTTGACAAAAAATTGTGAAGATACATTTAAATGTTATGATTTTTTAAAAATTTATTTATTTATTCATTTTATTCATCATCGATTAATTCTTTTTATTTTATTTCATTTAATTTCTCGATGGACAAAAACCAGAAAAAGGACTCTCAATTTCTTATGAAGCAGGAAGCCTTTCTTTAAAAGACATTTTTCCGTAATGAAGTTTTAGATTATCATTATAAAGTATAATTTTAATTCTAGTAATTAATGCCTCAGTTTGTCTTTTATTTACCTATAAAATCTTTTGTTTAGTGAATTGTTATCTTATTCGTTTTTGATAATGATCCGTTGAAAACCTTTCTTTATAATTCTATAAAATCCCTGTAAGAAAAAAAACGTTTCAGAAAACTAAATTATGAAAAATATTTGGGAGAAATAAATTTAATGGAATTTGTGCACAGATAGAAAGGAATACATCAAATCTCTAAATCGTTTGAAATATGTATCAATGAATACATTTCATTCTCATTGCACCAGTGAACTAGGGGCTATCGGGCTAGCTACCCCCCCCCCCCCCCCAGAGCAAGCAAGCTTGTGAATTTTGATATTATTTAAAATCATTACAACCTGTTTTTTTTTTTTAATTTTACCTCTATAAAAAAAAAATAATGTTGTTTCAACATTACTTTCTGCTTGACAGGTTCGAAAATTTTCCTATTTTTTTGTAGCTCTTCATTCCACTTGTACTTGTAGTTTTGACGTGGTCGAAGACAATTTTGGCTAGTTATTTCATTGTAATTTTATTAAAAATATAGAAAGTGTTGTATTGTTTTATGATCATTACCAGGTGAGTAAAGTCTGTAAAGTTAAAGAGTTTTGGTTTGTTTTAGCCTTGAGGTTTGACATTCGTCACGACGATAAAATTATGACTCCTCAGCCCCCCCCCCCCCCCCGACCTTAGAATCCTAGATTCGCCACTGTTGCACCATAAAGCTAATTAATTTGTAGGTTCAAATTGCAAAGTTTAAAGGAATTTTATTCATGTGCAAATTAAAATCTGAGAAGAGTTTTTTGCACAAAAATGATACTGACGAATTTTTTCTTACCGAATAATAATTTTCTGTTTCTCATTACAGTTTTCTATATTAAATAAAGAAACATAAATGGAATTTCTAGAATTTTTAATCTCTTTCAAGTCCCATTTTCTTCCACAATTAAAGAGTGTTAAATATAGAGAAGAGGGGAAAATAATAAAGTTTGACAGGATCTGAACCTGTAAGTGGGAAACCCAATGGATTTCGAGTCCATCGCCTTAACCACCTCGGCCAATGACTGCTTGCATCTAAGGGTAAAGGAATAGTTGAACTAAAGCATCATGTAAAATTAACTTCGTGCTAAAAAAATATATAAAGAATTTAAAAAATAATTATTAGAGCTTTATCAAAGGTTTATTGATAATCACATAGCTTGAACACAATATTTATAAAGGAAAATTCTTCAGCAAGATGTCTGAACCACTGCGGGTTTCATCAGATGCCACCTTTCGAAACTAAATTTTTTGAACGATTCTCACAATTCTTAACTTACATGTGTTTTGCAAAATTAGATTTTAAATTTTAAGAATACTTAATTATATTTTAAAAAAGGTTTATAACAAATTTAAATGTTTTTATAAAAAGGGGATAACTTTAAAACGTCAAAATTTAAGAGGAAGATATTTTGCAAATTGAGTAACCTTGCGTAATGCTCTGAATTGGTATTTTTTTCATTACTTGACTTCTTTGTCCTTTGAGTTGAGGCATCAACATCGTCCATGCTTGATTGGAAAAGCCAATCTAGTTGATCTAAATTCTTTTCCAATTTTTTGTATATTTTAAAATTTTTTAATTTCAGGTAAGAATAACTTTCTTGATTGTTCTTTATAGGAAGTATTTTCGCTTTAGGTTATCGATATTTATTGTACTGTATTCATAATTGGTTGTACCGACTCGTGTCTTCTAAATGTGAAACGGTTGTAATGAATGAAGGAGTGAAAAATAGTTTTCTTTGATCTCATGGTGGTGCACGTGGTAAATAAAACTTTGATTACGTGCAATAGTATTAAGTTTTATAAAAACTAATTATTCAATGCGATTTAAGAGCAAGAGTTACAGCATGGCGCAAGGTTACGTAATCATTCCCGGCTATTGCATTTGAATCGGAAGGTCAAATATTTTGAAAATTATTACGAATTTATGTGACCCTATTTATGGGTTGAAAAAATGGTGCATGCTAGAGTTCAATTTTACTTTCTATGTTTTAGAAATTTAAACTTTTCTATTTAGGAATTAAATTGATTAAACTTTCAGCACCTAATTTGTTACCTGTTCCGAATTGGTAATTAATTTATTTAATTCATTAATCGGAATGAGAATTTTTTTGTAAAAATTAAATGACCGAAAAAAGTGCAAATTCTGATATTTTAATGATCTACTTTGATAATAAGGTCATACAAATGTGTCGCTTTTTGGAAATCGGAACGATGTCTAGGTAGGTATATTGTTTTCCTTATTGAACTAAAGTTTATATTTTTAATCGAATTAAGATTTGATCCGTTTTGATTTTGAAGGATCAATTACCTATATAATTATGCATATTTTGATCCCATTGAAAGTTGTGTGCCATTTGTTTTTCATTATGGAACTTTTCCTTAACTTGGAAAATTAATTTATTTGTAAAATTTTGCATTTCATTTTCAAAAAGATTTTAATTATAGTCATAAACAAATTTATGTCAAGATGATGTTTAGTTTTGTGACTTTTTTACTAAAATAATATTTTTACAATTGATGTTTTGCATACTCTGAATATTTCTCTTGAGTTTTAAGATACAAAATCAAAATTATAGAACCAAAAGTCATTTAATTTATTAATCGTTGAAACATTTTTTTATGGAATAATTACATTGAATAGTTATCCATATTGATGATATAGTATATATCATGACAACTGCATACAGTCTAATATATTAAAACTTCTTGAAGTGATCATACTTATTTCTGTTTAGAACTTGCCATTTAAAAAAAGCAAATTTTGTTAGAGGTGAAGAGGAAAGTCATGATTAAGGGATCTATATAACTTTGAAAAAGAAAATTAACAGAAATTTATGGTTATTTGCCTAGTGGCTGTATTTCAATTTCTTTTTTCAAAGAAGTCTTACTATATGGATCCAAACTCCGAGATGAATTCATATAATTAAATTTTGGACCTTGTGTCCTTACTTATTCCATTCTATTCCTATTTCAAGAAACTCCTCTATTTTATATATGATTAGTTATCGGATACTTTTTGATAAGATTTTCTAATAAATATTATGGTATGTGGGACAAAATTGAAAGTTGCATATTAAGAGCTAATGAAATTTGTGTTTATAATTCAAAACGGATTAGTGGATTAAAAATGTTTATAAAAAGGTAAAATGTTCCAAAACTTCTGTTTATGAGGCAAGTTTTTGTTTTTTTTTGGAAAAAAAAAAAAAAAAAAAAACCCTCTGATTAATGGATTTGCCAGAGATACAAATAATTTAAAATTTGAGGGCATTGAAGGTTAAGATCTTTTTTCTGAAAGTAAAATATCTAGGCTTTTATTCTTTTAACCAAAATGTCAGTTGTTATGACTGCTAGGTTTATAAAGCTTCTACATTTTGATAAGGAAATTGCTGTCCCATTGATACACTATATCTAGGGTTGCCATAGTTGCCAAACACTGATACAGGACATTTAAATACTAAATAATTAAAACATGAAAAAAGTGGTTTGGTAATGGTTTATTTTACTCTGATAAAGGAATCAATAAGGTTTAAGTAATGTAACAAAATGAATGCGTAGAATAATATAAGCTGCAAGGCTAATAAACTTTTTAGCCCATTCATATTTTGAAGTTGATTTTACTATCTTAATTAGGCTCAACCAAAGTGTACGGTATGGTGCCAAACTTGGATTTTCTTTGGCGAAAAATCACTAAATGTGGTAAGCCAATGGCGGACAGTAACATGGTGGACGTTTGGCGAGTTTTTCATGACTTGGCGAGAGATGTACCGTACACTTTGGTTTTACCTCAAAATTGCTTCAATTCTCTATCAACATTAGTTTTGGGAGAAAACTGTACAAATAGCAATACAGGACTGATTAGTGAAATACTGTTACAGTCCCGTGTTTACGGGACGTATGGCAACCATTACTATATTTTATACCAGTGGTGCGCAAACCGTGGGTCTCTAAATTCAAAGAAATTTAACAAAAAATGTAAGGCTTTTCTTCAAAAAATATCCTTTTGGTCAACTGGGGAGGGGGTCACGAAAAAATTTTACACAAAACGAGGGGGTCGGAAATGAATATAGTTCGCTCACCACTGTCTTATACTTAAATTGTGTTCTGAATTATCTGTTCCATTCAGTACAACTCGGTAGTATTTTTAAGTTCAAAATAATTATTAATCTATTTTTTTAACATTTAATAAACTTTTTAATAATTATTAATTTTAAAATGTCTAATATTTGTTATTAAATTTAAAAAATATTTATTAACAAATAATATCCTAAATATTTTAATAGAATAGATAATATTTAGATATATTTCTGTAATGTAATTTATATTATTTTAGAAATATAATGTTTCTTTTTGAATAGTGGCCATTATGACGTGTGTTGCATGTAATAGAGTATCCAGTGGTGTCCTGGGTAGAGGTTTTATAGGGAAAAATTTATGAAATCAGAGTAGAAAATATAGGTGCAAAACCACTATTGCGAGAAATGATTTAATTGTCAAATTTGACTTTAAAAAATATATAGTTTATTACGATGAAAAGCAACTGTGATGATTTTGTTTAATTCCGTAGCCATGGGTGAAGATATTCCTGCCGGAGATCCCGAGAAGGGTAAGAAGTTGTTCGTCCAGAAATGCTCCCAGTGCCACACTGTTGAGAAAGGAGGCAAACATAAGGTTGGACCTAATCTCAATGGTCTGATAGGACGTAAAACTGGACAGGCTCCAGGATTCACGTATACAGACGCTAACAAAAGCAAAGGTAATTTTCTATTCTATGTGTATGTTAAAAATTTTCATTCTTAACATCTTAATCTTATTGTAGGTTGCACTGTATTTGTATGTTTAGACATATGTATATTTATTGCTCGATCTTGTTGTCTATTTAAAAAAACGTTTAATTTTATTTATTGAATCGACTGATAATTATACAAATATATATATATTTGATGTATAAATAGTATAATAAATTGTTGAAATTGCTTATAAAAGAATTCCATTTACCAGATTCTTTGATAAATTAATTAATTTTAAAGATTACATAAATATGAATAATTTTCCATTTACTTGGCAGTAAGCAAAATATGCCATGTGTAGCGATCTTGTATAGCAAAAGGTGCTATTTTACTGGCAACCTAATGGAATAGCATTCAAATTTGTTTGATCTATTTTTGTATCTGAATTCTGTGTGGATTATATGTGTAAGTGTTGATTTTATGTCTAGTATTGGTAGTCATTATTGAAAACAAATCTTTAATAAAAGATTTCCAAAATTCTGCTGTGTGCTAATGTAAATTTTAGTTTTTGCTTAAATTGTTTTTTAGTTATAGAGCTGGGGTTTCTAACCTTTTCTCCCTCGTGTACCCCTTGATTATCCTATGGGTTTTCGCATATCCCTTCCGATCATGAGGCTGCGGTGGCCTAGTGGTAAGGTCTCAACCTCGGGAACCAGAGGGTCGCAGGTTTGAAACCCGATTCCACTGAAGATCCGCCGTGTGTGAGGCCTGCTGCACGCTAAATCATACGTAGTGGCCAAACGTCCTCCCGTTGGTGTGGTGCGGAGGTTTGGAGAGGGGGTGCCACCTCAGTTGTCGTCCTCATCTGACAGCAGTTCAAAATTACGAGGTCCGTCCCTAAATAGCCCTCGTGTTGCTTCAAAATGGGATGTTAATAAAACCTAACCTAACCTAACCTCTGCTATCATGTCCAACTCTTCACCCTCACACACACACAACCATCCGTCTATGCAAAATTTTTGTCACTAATGTTAAGGTTAGCTTAAAAGTGAAATGACTTGAGTTAATAACATTTGCAAACTTATTTTTGATTTTACATTTTATTACAATAGTATTAGTTCAGCGCCAAAGCTAATGACACCTGTGTTGTAATTGTTTCATTTTAACCTATAAGGATAGCTAAAAATTACACTTCTTAATAATCAATTGTTCAAGTGGTATAGTTATTAAATAAGTATTCACTTGAAGAAATAAAATTGTCTAACTTTTTTTAATCCCTTATAATTTCTTTTTTCCGC